CCTAGAGAATTAAAACTCTATTTTATAACTATACCTTCAAAAATATATATAATTATTTTTTAAAGCACAGCTAAAAAATGCTCCGTCAAAATACATTGGTAAGTTATGTTAAGGAAAACCTACTTCAGAAGCACAAAAAAAGAGGCTTCAGCAAAATTAACTTCTCGTAATTCCAAAAAATGATGTGAAAATTTAAAAAAAGGTTACCAAACTCGAGATAGTTGGTGACATGTTATTCCAAAAAGAAGGCAAGAGAACAGTCCTCCTCTGTTTGACTGCATAAATGAGAGCAGCCAGCCTTAGGAGCTCTCCTGCGGAAACAAGCCTCATAGAGCACCCCCTGTGCGGCCCCACAAATGCCTCCTCAGAACTGTGCCACCTAGACTTCAACAGAGAGCACTCAGAAGCACAGACCTAACTGAAGTGAGAAACTACACTACTCTGTAACTCCAGTACTCCTGCCAGTAATACATTAATTAATTTTCCAAAAGAGCCTAATTATCTAGGTCTAATATCAAAACAGAAGCCCAGTCTTGGGAGAACAATTGGAAGTTAAAATAACTTCAATTCTATTAGTATAGGGATCCAAAGAGGAGAGCAAAGAGAACTGCTGTGCATCCACTGGGTGACATCGGCCGGTGCCTTCTGCACAATGCACTGTGAACCTTCCTCTGTGAAGCTTACCGTCCAGCATCAAGAGAGTGCCACAAAAATGATGAAACCACCAAATGACCAGAAAGGGAGCATCAGAGAAAGAAGAATGCTGTGGGGTGCAGAGGCAGGAGCTGCGCACATCCACCTTGAGGAGGAAAGGATCTCAGTGCATCCTGAAGGACAGGCAGGCTTTGGTCGGTGACTCAAAGCAGAAGGAAGCATGTCCCCTGCAGAGCACCAAGGCTCTGCCAAGGCACTCATGAGGCTCTCATGTCCACACATGAGGAGCAAAACTCACGAGGAGCCCAAGAGGCACTGTGGTGTATCACAGACATACACCTGGGTTCAAATCCCAGCTCCACAACTTGACATGTAACTCAGCCGGCAAAGCATCAATAATACTATCACCTATGCATGAGGTGGTGAGAGGACCAGAAAGTTGTACTTACTAACAACCTGCCTTATTCCAGAAAGAACTTAAGAAAAGTATAGACATTTGTGGTGAAACAGTCAATTTTAATTATGTTGGCTGAGAGGAAAAAAGCAAGGAGTCTAAGACTAGGTCAGAAAATTTACCTCTTTAAAATTCCACACTCTTATTACAGGCAAGCCACAAATTTCACTTCAAATTTTTTAGCAGCTAATTTTAAGAGGGAAATGTAATCAGTTAACAGACTCAGGGTTTATAAAACACGAAAAAAAACAGAACAGCCAGCACAGCTGTTGGAACACAAGCAGTACCACACCTCCATGAAAAGTGGGACAGCCATTTCTCTGGGCTCTGAGTGATCATGGGCTTCCTGGGGCCAGTTCTCGCATGCTCCCAATACCTGCACAGGCTGAAGGAATCCCACAGGGCAATCCAAGCAAAGTGACTCTACAGCAGCCCTGTGAGATGGCCTCAAACACACTTACTGCTTGGATCAAGCCAGTCATTGATTTCAAAGTATCTCAGGGATGGGGGACTCAGCGTCCTTTGGGCAATTTTGTTAAAATTATCTCTTTCAAGCAGGCTCCTGGTGGATATTTAGCAGCAGCTGAGATCAAGACTGCTTCTGACAGACACTTGCTGATGATTAAGTAAAGAGCCAAATGCTCTAACAACCAGCTGAACGAAGAGGCAGCACTGAGCTCTGGTGAAAACAGGCCCTGAACACACAGGTCAGGACAGGAGGCCTCCATCCACCCCACCCACATCCACACCCACACCCCCGGGGCTCAAACAGCACCGCTGACTGTGGGATAAGGTTGGTTGTCGAGAGCCTGCAAAGCACCACCACTACCATCAGGAAGCAGAAAACCATAATGACAGCTCACAACTGCTGACCACCTGCTGGGTGCCAGGCAGCTCACGA